CAATTACAGGCCTCTCTCATCTTTTTAATTGGGAGAACTTGCACAATTGGTGACTGGCTAAATACTTATTTTCCCCACTGTATGTCTGGCACTAACAAATTGAAATAAAAAATATTTTTATCAAGGGGACAACTACAGCGGATGTGAGTTGTACGGTATAGCCCTGAAACAGGAAAGTCATCAGGGTCTTGTATGTGAGATCAATGAACTTGTCAATGAGCCCAGAAAATGAAAATCGGTAAATCTGCCCAAAGCCACATTCTGTCTTTTCAGCACTGTTTGTTTCGAAGAATTGTGTGTTTGGGAGTTTTCTCCCCAATCTGTTGCCCAAAAACTTGCAGACAGACGTTTTGATATCAACTCGTGACGCCTTGAACAAGTTGTTCTACCTAATCTCAGTTGTTGGTCTGTGAAAAAAAAAAACAGAGCCTTACTTCTATTTTTTAACTTATTTCCCTCAGGGGATCAATACAAAGTCTTTTAATTCTACTGAATTCTCTGACGTGTTGTGCTTTAAGCCTTTTGCACGTTTTTTTTTTTTACTTAAACACATAAAAATATAGTTTGAGACATGCACCTGCCACTCCTGCAATAGYTTGATGTGTTTTCTGCGGGACCTTTCTCTTCAATCAGTTGTTTCAGTCGTGTCTAAAATCAGTGTTTGTGTGTTTTCTTTCCATCAGGTGACAGTAACCCCAAGGAGAGCAGCCCCTTCATTAACAGCAGYGATGCTGCTGCAGAAAAGAGCCAGCAATATGACGGGAAGAACATGGCCTTGTTTGAGGTACAATCTAATACTTCGCACAYGCACACACCCTGAGATTTCTTAATACACACATTAGAATTGTAAGTAGGAAACGGCATAAACTCGTTCTCACAGTGTGGTGATTGAATAAGGGCTCTGACATCGATTAATGAGGGTAATTATTGTGTGAAGGGCATGTTGGAACCTCAGGTTATTGCAGGCAAAAAGACTGCTACGAGAACAAACTTCAGCAAAACAATTCGCCTCAGCTCTGCACAAATGTATTTGCATAATGCTCCTGGTGGAATTTTTAGATTGAAAAAGGAAAATTAAAAAACAGCTTGTTGTATGAGCATTTTTTTATTTGTACCTTAGTAATCAAAACCAGGAGGAARCCCTGAAAAGGTCACTAATCCCAGGTGATTTATGGGCCCCTTTACTACAATAAGTAAGTTTGACTGGAAGAGGTGAGAGGGTTAAAGATGCTGACTCAAAAGCTTTTTCTCGGTGTCTCTGCAGGAGGAGATGGACACCAGGCCCATGGTGTCGTCTCTTCTCAGCAGCCTGGCCAACTACTCCAACCTGCCTCAAGGTAGCAAGGAACACGAGGAGGCCGAGAACAATGAGGCAGAGACGGCACGCAAGAAGCCTGTCAAGGTATTTATTTTTTAAATGCATTATCCTGTAGGCTGCACTGACGTAGAGAATGACTTTATTCCTKAAGTCTGAGAGAGCTAAGATAAATTATACAATTGGAATCAACATTAATGATGATTTTCATAACTAAGGTGTCGTTAACTTTATGAAATGTTTTAAGATGTTTACAGGAAATATGATTTAAAACCAGCCAGATTTAATTCACCATCACTTCTCAGAAGACGTTAGTATTTCTGCAGTGCAGCTGTAATGAAGCACAGATTAATATTGATATCAGYTGCAATGCAGATTAGGAAAAAAACACAGAAGTATTAGTTAAAGCTGTTTCACAAAATGTCAAGTTTTTGTTGTGTAAACAAATTTTCCGTAAACAAATTATTAACTTTTTTCCAATCTGCCTCTCTGCTCAGCATTTGTGTTTGTGCATCGATTCATCACTTCCTACTGGATTTACACTCAGAGCAGGAATGTTATTTATTACACACGCAGTGTGACTTGCTCTGCCAGAAATGTCTGTCACAGTTTCCTTGTAGCTTCATGGATGGCCAATAAGTGTTGCCAAATATAGGTTTAGGTAATGAATCTCTAATAGCCCAGTTTCTGATTGTTTCTAGGAAAAGCGAGTGAAAACTGCCCCAGCTGAGAAGTTGTCAGTCATTCTCTGCTGATATTAAAAAGTCCCAGTTTGTGCTACTGGGATGCATCTTAAATGCCACTCACTAATGAGTTCCCTGCACATCTTCCTGTGGTATTTTCTTATTTAATGTATTTATTTATTGCTCTTGGCTGTTGAGGTGCCAGCAGGAAGGAGTTTATCTTTTATGTTTTTTTTTGCACTTTATAAACCAAAAGGCAGCTGCATTAATAATCTTATATGATGTGGTTTTAAACTGCTTATTGATTCACTAATTAGCAAAGCTAAAATGTTAGGAGAGAATAATACAAGTAATGAGGGACACAAATGTGGCAGAGCATCACACGCTGACTTTCAGAAGTTTAYGACTTCAGAGTCAGCCCATGTGATGTAAGACACACTTAAGAAATTGAAACAGCACCGCTCTGACAGGCTGACAGCTTTTCTTTGACCTTTGATGCATCTGTCTTTCCAGGTGTCCAATCAGTCTGATATTCATCTTCACTTTCTGCCTTTGTCCCCTTTTTTGTTTCAATTTTCCACTCTTCTTTGAACCTTTTGTCCTGAATCTCTTCCACTCAGGTGTTGCTTTTTCTTTTTCACCTTGGAGCAAATGACTGAAGATGACCCTGGTGGTCAGTGTACTTACTGTATCAGATACTCTTTCCAGGTGATGCCAGCAGGATTTTAATGGTATCGAACTGAGATGCAAAGTATTGACTGCTGTATTATTTGAAAAGGATAGGAGGTGTTTTAAATGGTGGGGAAAAAAAATCCATCAAAAGATGCATCAACATTTTTAGAAGGTTTCACTCTTACCTCCCTGGTCGATGGAGAGTTCTTATTTTTTTATTTTATTTTTTTATAATTATGGTTTAATTTTAAAGTTTTAATTAGTGTTTTTCTTCACAGGTTTGCAGCGATTGTTGCTATAAATTATAAGCCAAAAAATACACTAATAAGGACCTCCCAAATAATTTTGTTTGTTTATTTTGTATTAAGCTAAATTAGAATTTAATTATAAATTAAATGACTTTGTTCAAAGGGTTGAATTAAACGGCACAACATTTCATACAAAGGTGCAGGCCTTTATGTTTTTGAGGGACTTTTCACTTTAATGATATCATATCGTTTTTTTTTTTTTTGTTTTTGTTTTTGTTTTTGTTTTTTTTGATGGGGGCGAATATTGTGTCATTAATACCAATAAAAGCAATACATACTGATAAAACTAATGGCACCATCCATCTAGCTTTACTCTAATTGCATTTTCCCTTTTTTATTTAGTACAAAGCACGTGTTTAATTTTCTTATTGCTAAGCAATACACATTTAGTTTAAACTGTAACATGTGAAATAGTTGCTTTTGTGAACCTTTTAACATAGTATTTAAGTTAAAAGTGTCCATTGTTTACATTAAGATTATCTAACTTCACAGATCATTTTAATCAAATGAGTAAAACATCATATTTTGGTTATGGTATCCACCAGAATGATCATTTTGATGTTAGTTGCATGTGTTTTTGTGTATCTAAAATGGCTGCCTCCGGTTTAATGAAGCTCATTACTTTTAAAAGCTTCAGCAGTACTTATTTATTTTTTTTCCAGAAACAATTGTCAGTTTATATAGCAAAAACACAGAGAGTATTATGGGCAGCACCACTTTTCTGCCCTATAAATTGTTCTAATGAAAATGGCAGCACAAACTGTTTACTTTTAAGTGCCTGGGGACACTGTTTGTAAAAGCAAATGTTATTTTGTGGGAACTAACCTTCGTGTGGTTTTAGAAGCTACATTTTTACCACCTAATTGTACAAATAAAATAATGTAAGTTGTAGCTTTAGATATCAACACTTCACTCATAAGACGTCCGCCGCAGCTCAATATGGAATCCACGTTTCATTCCTCAGTATTCCTGAATGTAAAGTTCACCTCTCCTTAGCTCAGGTAACACTGAGAGCAGGTCTAATCTCCCCTGTCACTCCAGCCCACTCTGTACATTAATTAGACCACACGCTGCACCAAGCCGCTGCATCTCCCATCAGCAGCCCATTCCAGCCAGAGGCAATCTCTCCATTGCCACGAGAGRCTTTTCATTAACGCAGCCTGCGGTGTTTTATCACTCACACAGCGACCCCGCTCGTTCTACCCCATYGCCGCCCCCACCCCCGCTCGGTCTCCGGCTCCTTCATCATTGTAACCTCGAGTGAGCGAGGGAGGAGGAGATGAAGGCAACAGCCTGTCTTTGGCGCAGTGTGAAAACCAAGATTAGAGAAACGGTTGGTTCGGGACATGGGGGACCGCACTGGAGGTCACACAGGTTACAACGGAGACTAGTCACAGCAGATCCCACRGTAGTTTTATTATGTTCTTTTTTTTTCCTGCGCTGACCTCTGTGATAACAGAGGGCAAACAAACATATGTGTGTTTAGTTCATATATGTTTCCTTTAGTTTCAGCGTGGCTGTGGTATTAAAAATCATCAGGATAATAATACCATCTGTGTTGTATTTAAATGAAAACATGCTCTACTGTGTATATTTTAGTAACAGTACCTTTCATTTATTCACTGTAAAAAAAAGGTAACTGTAAAATTTACAGTAAATTACTGGCAGCAGGGTTGCCAGCCAGTTACTGTAATTTTAACAGTAACCTACTGTAATTTTCTTACAGTTTTACTGTAATTCTAATAGTTTTACCAGGATTTTTATTACAATTTTACTGTAATTCTATTACAGTTTTACAGTGATTTTTATCGCAATTTTACTGTAATTCTATTACAGTTTTACCATGATTTTATTACAGTTTTACCATGATTTTATTACAGTTTTACCATGATTTTATTACAGTTTTACCATGATTTTATTAAAGTTTTACTGTAATTTAATGCAGCTTAATTAATCAAACTCACAATAAATGTCAGTAAATTTTCCAATTTCAAGTAAATAAGAACACAAAATACTTTATTTTATTTGTGTTACTTTTTTTTCATGGTCAGTTTCAAACCATCAAACTGTAACATAAAAYATTTCATCTTTTACACCAGAAACATTTGCTTTTTACATAAATATCAAAAAGTGTTGTAACCTGAATGTAAAAGAACTCTGGCAAAATTTWTCCAAAAACATTATGAATTGAWACATTTTTAAAAATGCAAAACCCACATGGTAACATTCTAATGCATAAAACCTGTTAAAGAACTTTGAAAATAAAGTGGCAAAATATCAAGATTTCTAAACAAACTGTCAATCAAAGGCATAAGAACTACATTTAAAACTTCCATAGTAAAATTTTTAAATGGCTTTGTCTTTAAACATACTAATCCAGCACTGTAACATACTAATCCAGCACAGTAACATACTAATCCAGCACTATAACATACTAATCCAGCACTGTCAAATATAAGTTAAATTACATAATTTTACACCATGCATAGGAACCATACCGTTACATTTTTAACATTTCAGCCAGTTAAAAACTTCTACTACAAATGTAAATTTAAAACTTCTATAAATACGTGACCAGGGGTGTACCCAAAGGGGGGTGGGAGGTGGAACGACCACCCCTACGGATTTACTGTTCAAACATCAAACAAAGAAAAAAAAAAACTCCACTTCTTTTATTTCTTTTGCACCACCCCAAGATGGTCAGTGACCCTATCTGGCCACCCCTTTGAAAATGTTGTGCAGGCGCCTCTATACAAGACCCAGACAGCAGGTGTAATTTCCCTGATGTCATAAAAACCACGACTGTCATTAAGGTCCGACAGCAGCACATTTGTGATGCTGTTGTTGTCRTGTAATCTTTTTAAGAAGACAAAAGGAAAGACCTTTTCTTGCTAGAAAATAAAGCAATRCATCACAATTTTGGTCTTGTCTTGACATGAGACCTTTAGTTCCTGTAATTTGTTTTACGAGACAAATGGTTAAACCACTTACTGCCTGAATGTGACTGAATCAAAATTTTCTATTTGCGAAAAGGCCAGGATTTCCTCCATCTTTGTGGTTCAGATATCAAGCTGATTTCACATAGACAAAGCAACAATTAACAGTATGTTATTTTCTGTTTAATTATAACCTGTAGCAGTGAGCATAAATTACCACCTGAGAAAACTAAGGGTCAGCTAAAAATACTATTTTATACCTATTTCCACCAATAAAGCCAATAAAAAAACATTTACTTAATAATGTCCTGCAAACTAAACGCAATTAGATGCACACTTCATTACATTAGATAAAAAAAATGTTTTAGTTGAGTGCATCTGGCTGGAGTTAGAAGAACATTTGTCCATACGCTCTCCGTCTCTGCCTTTTACAGCCTAATGTTCCCTCACATAAATGTTGGTTCCTTTCTCCGTGTTTTATGATCCCG